AAGGTTGACTCAGTCTTCCATCCTTCTGAAGCTGGTAAAATGAGGACCCTAGACTGTTGGAGGTAACTGGATGACTCTGTAAACCACTTAGAGAGGGCTGTAAAGCACCATGAAGCAGTATATATGTCTATGTGCTATTGCTATTCTTTATATACCATTGTCACACAAACATTACATACAATAAAACTGCAGAAGTGTCCATTAGGAAAGAATGGCTGTAAATGGGCATGTAGTTAGCTAGGCACCATCAAGAAGGGAGACATAACAATATACTCAAACATAACATACTTCCCTTCTAGCTTATTTCTGGCAGTAACATCCTCTGATTGCAAGCCTGTGTGATTAGTTACTTTGCACTTGAATGTGACAGATCTATTCTTCAGTCCTTAGACTCTGACCTTCACTCTTTGGAACCTTGACTGGTGTGGGCTATAACTTTGGAATGATTACTTTTTGTCTGTTTCCTGGCCACAAATAATCCTTTCATGGAATTAGGACATCTATAATCTGGACATCTATGCTTTTCCACTTTCAGTTCCAAAAAAGAGCATCACTATATACATTCAAAAACTATTTGCTGAAATGTGTTGAGTTTCTATTAGCAAGACACCTGAAATCTTCATCAGGTACACAAAGGCACAGCAAATATCCAAGGATACTGCGTCATTGGGTATCTCCATTAACAGGTAGAATTTACATGCCTTCAAACCTCTAAAATATTTGAGAGTGTGCATGTTAAGAGCTGCCAGCATCCAGAATTATTCTCAGTTCCAACAATGCCTCTGAACTTCCAAGTGGCCTCTATAAGCATTCTTTTGGGGGGGGGAGGAACGGCTGATTATAGGTGGGTGGGTGTAATAGGAGACTATTCCTATGCCACTTAATAGATGTTTTCTTTCCATCCTCTTGCAGGTATTTTGTGAGAATACTCACAGTAAATTCTCAACATTCCAAATATGCCTACAGATTAAAACAGAGTGCTAATTCTATTTATTAATGAGTATCTAAAGATCAAACTCATTCCAATACTACCTAAATCATTATATCTTAAAATCCAACTATTGCGATTGTTCCACAGATATCAATATCCATGATATATGATTCAATTTTAAAGTTTAAACACACTGGAAACACTACTGGGAATAAAGGCACATCTATCTTATCTAGCTTTAGGCTCAGAAAATAAGCTTTTTAAAATATCAACAAATCACCAGTAGATATATCGGAGGAAGAAAATCGTGAAATATTTTATGAGACTATCAGAAATAACCATAATAAAGACAATGCAAAAGAATGGTGTCTATGCAAAATTATCTGCTTTTCCCACTATAAACAAAAGAAGATAGATTTCATGTAATCATCTACAGATGTGTTACATTAAAAACTACTTAATTCTATAATACATTAGCTCTTTTATACTGGACCCAATCACATCTCAAAATGCCTCCAGATGTAATTTCATACTCAAGGTAAGTTAGATAAGGTGCCAGACAATAAGGACCACTCTACATGTCTAGGCAAGTTTGAGAATTCCAGGCATATTGCTAAACCAGCTTTACTATTTTACTGGTAATGACTGGGTAAAAAAAACAACTATTTTCACAGAATCTTGAACTGGAAAGGACCTCACAGATCAAGTCCAGTTTCGTAGTGCAAAATCAGCTAAAGCATTTCGAATATATAACTTTTTACCTCTCTTTAAAGACCTCCAGTAAAGGGGAACATGCCTGTTAATGGAGATACCCAATGACGCAGTATCCTTGGATATTTGCTGTGCCTTTGGGTACCTGCTGAAGATTTCAGGTGTTTTGCTAGTAGAAACTCAACACATTTCAGTGAATAGTTTTTGAATGTATATAGTGATGCTCTTTTTGGAACTGAAAGTGGAATAGCATAGATGTCCAGATTATAGATGTCCTAATTCCATGAAAGGACTACGGTACTTGTGGCCAGGAAACAGACAAAAAGTAATCATAAGGCAACCTCTTCCACTATATCGAACCTAAATCCATCCAGCTTTAGCCCATTTGTTCTGCTGTGGCAAAGAACAAGTCCAGCTCCTCCACTACATGATAATTCTTTCAATATCTCAAAACTACTGTCGCATCTCCTCTTAATCTTCTCTTCTGCAGACTAAACACACCCATCTTCTTTGTTTTTCACAGGGCACTGTTTTCAGCCCCCTCACCAACGTAACAATCCTCCTTTGAATGTATTCCAGTTTATCCATATTCTTTTGGGATTGTGGTATCCAGAACTGGACTATTCCAAATGGGCCTTGAACAAGACAAAGTACAATGGGACAATTACTTCCTGGGGCCTGGGCTCTATATTAATACATTGTGATCTACTAGAACGTGATTATTTCTGCACACCTAAAGCTATTCTTCTTCCAGATAGCTTTAAAATAGAACTCTGTTAGGAGAGAACGGAATTCATTTAGTTGGAGTCATAAACCATGAGTCCTCTATTCTCTGCCAAATTAAGGTCAATTGACAACACTAGGATAACCCTGCCAAGAATGCTTGGTAGGACAGGCAGTATGCAATGCAGGAGGCAGATCAGGTACAAACTGGAACCAATGACACCTCTTCTATAACTTCTGCTATAGATTGGATTCTATTGAGAGCTCCTCAAATGAGGATTCAAGTTTCAGAACTTGCAGAGGCAAGGGGGAAACATTTGTTCCCCTGAGACTTAATTCACACCTCCAGCCTTCCAACCCTATCTTCTGGCTAGTGAGATGTATTGGTAATTTGTTGTCATAGTTTCTCTTGTGCATGCTAATCCTTCCCATTCTCCCATCTTTTCTTTTCTTCCCTGTGGACCGTACTTTTAGAGAAACGTGCAAATTCTTTTTGAACTTCTTGCAAAAGAAACTCTTTGGCTATTATCCTTAATGCTGTTTTCCTTCTGAATCAGGCAGCCATAAAGTGCAGAATGGCTGTCAATGGCAAAATGCAAATGCACACAATTATGTATCCACACTTTTCAAAACTCTCAACACTAGAACATGCCAATATTGTCAGCATCATGTGTAGCAACTTAGGTGTGACACAGAAGGGCAGAATCTTGCTATGGTCAACTTGGTTTCTAAGATTTAATTTGGTTTTCGAGGGTTTTTGAGGCTACAGACTGCAGGTAAGTGTCTGGAGTATTATCCGAATAGCATTCCTCGTCTCCAATAGCATTCCTCTACTAGAAATAAGCAATGCACATTATATTATGACAGGATATTTGTCCTGCATGTCAGTGAAGATAAATGACATAAACTGGGCTATGGGGACTTCATTACACTCATTAACATTTGGAAAAAAATACCAAGAGAGAATAGATTCTGTATAGGTGTATGCTTTTTGTTTTATTATAGTGCTGGAATTTTCATAATAGATACTGGATTCAAGCAAAGAGAGTGGAGAAAAAATAGAAAATCTGCAACTTCGAAGTTGCAATACCATACATGACATTATGTTTGTTACATTCCAAACAAAGAGCTGGATGGTTCCCTTCCATTAATGAAAGAGGCTGGATTCAGCAGAAGCCTCTCATAAATGTAAGATGGATTTTCTTCTTTCTCTGCCTTCCATTCTATTACACAATAGAATGGAAGGCATTCCGTGGTACGGAGATCTAAAAACACTTACTTTTTCTGAATGAGATTCTATTCAGTCTCTCTTAAGTGAATCTATTCAGCTTTAAGATTCTGCAAACATCTGAGATACATTCAGCAGAGATTCAAGGGAAGACTTTCCTTGTCAAGAGGTCAGCTAGCTCTCTTTTAACAACCTTCCCTTCAACATTTAAACACATTTAAATTAGATTATGAGCCAAGAAACTGCATGCAAATTTATTGTTATATTTTTTAAAATTAATTTTCGCAATGCTTGTGCCTATTTTGGTTTTATTTTATTTGCATTTTATTGCTGTTTTATTGGTGTATTAATATTAATACAGATTAATATTCAAGAACTTGGAAAAGAACATACCTGTCAACTCAATCTGTAACTTAGTTATGTCTTTAGCTGCAAGGAAATGTTCTTTGGCTTTTTTATACTCGTAATAATTCAAAAATGTGTAAGCACATTCTAGATGAAATTGAACAGCAAGTTGCCAACATTCATCATCGTTGAACAAAGTCTCAATTTCAAAAACTGTAAAAAAGGAAAAAAAAGATTAAGAAACAGAATGTGAAGAAAACACAATAAAAAGCAGAAAAATACACTCCAGATTCACTACTCCCTAGGCAAATAAACTAGGTTTAAATTGAAAGCGGACCTGCTTGATCTGCATTTTTATACACCAAGTTTTAAATACAAATTTCCCAGTTTGGCAACTTCCAAACCTCTTGTGAAAAATGATACATAAATAGCCAAGAGTCCCCCGCACGCACACTTTATTTTCTGTTTTAACTTTTTATGGTCAGCATTTGTGAGACTATAAAGTCTGATACCACCTTAGGATCTGCTAAGGCCTAGTTCGAATACCATCTTATTCGAATCCACATTCCATTTTATTGTGTACTTTAAATATTTGAGTACATGATTTAACTCTTGGATATATTTAACTCTTAGACATGTCTCCTTCCAATATATACTACAGATTTTTGCTTAAGGGCAACACAGCTCTTTTCTTTCTCTCTGAGAGACGGGACCCTTATTAGTTGAGACCAATGACTAAGATGCTTGGCAGTTGATCTGAAGTTGGTTCTCTAAACCTGATTTCAGAAAATGACAAATACCATTAACCTCAGAGTAAATATTAATCTAGGAAACAATTCTGAGTATAGAAGAGACCAATATATCAGTGGTAAAATATGATCATAAGCAAAGATGAAATGGAAAGGAGAAAAACTGAAGGGAGAGAAAAAGAGAATCTGTTCAACATATATAATACTGCCAATGCCAGTCTTAATCACTGAGAACTTCTTCGTTGCTCTATTGGCCAAAAAAAAAAAAAAATGACAATCTTGAAAAAAGTCATTATTTTCCTGCAAAGAGTTTTTTCTTCAAACCCCCATGCAATCCTTTGTACCAGAAACAGTATTTTTTAAAAATAGGTCTTAAGAATTAAACACAACATAAGTTTCATCTAAGAAGATGAAAAAAGACTTATTTTTAGATCAATTTTAAAAAGTGGATAAATTACAGGCAAATATTCATCTCTAAATAGCCTGTTTTCCTAGAAGCAAAGCAAATTATTTTTAAGGGGTTTAAAAAATGTTCATAAGCATTTGGTCAAGGACACAGATAAGATAAAGAGTAATAAAATCTTATTGTACTCAAGAGAATAGAAAACATGTGGCTTTATATCTGTTTTCAAATCTAAAGAGATGGATGGGTATGTATACACACACAAACTGATACATACATAACACAACAGCTGGATAGCGTAGTGGTTAGAGCACCAGTCTTTGATGCAGGAGACTGAGGTTCAAATCCTGAGTGGTACCTTCCTTGCTAAGGACTCCTAACACCTCACCTGCCTACTTCAAATATCAGAACGACCTAAACTAAGAGAATCATGCAGATTAACAAGGTCTGCATCAGACATTTGGAAAACAGGACAATCTGACAATAAGTGGGCTACTGAAACAAATCACGCATGGACTAGACAAGAGAACCTGGAATTGATAGCACTCTACCATAACAGTAAACCAAATGAGAGAGGGGATATATGAAACGTATAAGGGAACTATAGAAGGATGGAAAACCTGCAAACACATTCATGGAGAAACAGCTAGTTTACCAATTCTTCAAAATAGTGAAGAGAAAGCTGCTCTCACAACTTGAGATAGACCAACTATACATTACATACTGGACTCAAGATGACCTGGAAAAACAATCACATGTGCAGCCACATATTGTGCAGCCAACATCACTGCCTCCCCCTTCATTACAAAACACAGCTGCCTTTTGAGATATACAGTAAGTTCCTGGACAAATTAGCTACAGCCAACCCTCAAGACATAGGAGAGAAGTACCATCAGACAGTATGCTAGAAAATGCCAACAGAGCCCCACTGTAACTCAAACCAATGAATTGGTATATGCTACAGCTGTAATCCTGGAGATGCTTGGTTATATGATCAAGAACAACAGTACGTAACTTCCCCGGAAAATGAGATTAAAAGCTAAAATTAAAGCAACTCAGATACTGTACTAAACAAAGACTCATAGCACTGGTTACCAAACTAAGGAGATACACTAGAGAAGCAGAGGCCAATAAGATAAATGCCCTGTTCTCCAAAGAACCATCCAAGATGTATTCCCAACTGCAGTACAATAACACAATAAAAGCAAAGTCACCAACAGCAGAAACTGAACAGTACTGGAAGAACATATGGGAGAAAGAGAAGACACATAATACTAGTACAAAGTGGCTGCAGGACTTGAAAGCAGATCACAGCAATCTCCCAGAACAGGAACCACCCACAATCACAGTAGCAGACATCAAACAGCAGATCAAGAACATGAAAACTGGGCAGCACCTGGGCTGAACATGATCAACATCTACTAGTTAAAGAAACTAACAGCAGTGCATTAATACCTAACAGCACAGATGAACCAACTACTAGCAGCAAGCTCCCACCCAGATAGACTAACACAAGGAAGGACAGTGCTGATCATGAAAGACCACCACAAAGAAATAGTTCTGTCAGCTGACGGCTGAAAACTGGCTTCCCCACAACATGGAAAGTTCTATCAGGCATCATAACCACCAAGCCACAGGACCATATGGACCAGTACATGAGCACAGCTCAGAATGGCACTGGGAACAACACCGGAGGCTCAAAACATCAGTTGCTCAGAGACAGAGTAGTCACACAAGACTCAAGGTCTAGACAGATCAATCTGAAAACAGCCTGGATTGACTACAGGAAAAGCCTTTGACTCAATGACACACACATGGATCTGTGAATGCCTGGCGCTATATAGAGTCAACAGGATACTAAGGATCTTCTTTAAGAACTCAAAGGGACTGTGGAAAATAACATCGGAAGTCAACTCAAGAAAGCTCACACCAAGTGGCCATCAAGTGTTGCATTTATCAAGGCAATGCACTATTCCCCTTACTGTTCTGCATAGTCTTGAAAACCTTCAGCCAGATAATCACAAAGACTAGATACAGATACAAGTTCAAGAGTGGAACTATTATCAGTCACCTCCTCTAAATGGATAACATCAAGCTGTATGCTAAGAGAGAATGCGACATCAACTTGGTGATAACCCTGATACAGATTTACAGTGAGGACACTGAGATGTCATTCAGACTAGAGAGGTGTGGCAAGATGATAGTAAAGATAGGAAGATAGTTATGACATACAGACCAGCTACAAGTACTTTGGTATTTCACAGTCACACGGGAACTACAATAAGAAGGTAAGGAAGATAGCAAGAGAAAAAGAGAGACAGAGAGAAAGACAGAGAGACACAGAGAAAGAGAGAGAGAGAGAGACACAGACACAGACAGAAACAGAGAGAGAGAGAGACAGAGAGAGACGAGAGAAAGACAGAGAAAGAGACAGACAGAGGGAGAGAGAGAAAGAGAGAAACAGAGAGAAAGAGACAGAGAGACAGAGAGACAGAGAGAGACGAGAGAGAGAGAAACAGAGAGACAGACAGACAGACAGAGAGACCGAGAGAGAGACACAGAGACAGAGACAGAGAGACAGACAGAGAGACACAGAAAGAGACGAGAGAGAGACAGAAGAGAGACAGGAGAGAATCAGAGAGAGACAGAGATGAGAGAGAGACAGAGACAGAGACAGAGAGAGACAGACAAAGAGACAGAGAGACATGAGAGAGAGAGAGAGAGAAGGAAAGAGAGACACTGAAAGAGAAAGAGAGAGAAGAGAGAGACAGAGACAGAGAGAGACAGAGAGACAGAGACTGAGAGAGAGACAGAGAGACACAGAGACACAGAGAGAGAGACATAGACAGAGAGACGAGAGAGAGAGAGAGAGAGAAAGAGAGAGAAAGAGAAAGAGAGAGACAAAGAGAGAGGGAGTCAGAGAGACAGAGACAGAGAGAAAGAAAGAGACAAACAGAGAGAGAGAGATAGACAAAGAGAAAGAGACAAGAGAGAGACAGAGAGAGACAGAAAGACAGACAGAGAAAGTAAAAGAGACAGAGAGACAGAGAGAGAGACAGAGAGAGACAGAGACAGAGAGACAGAGACAGAGACAGAGATGAGAGAGAGAGACAGAGAGACAGATAGAGACAGAAAGACAGAAAGAGACACACAGAGAGAGACGAGAGAGAGGGAGAGAGAGAGAAAAAAAGAAAGAGAGAGAAAGAGAGAGAGACAGAGAGAGAGAGAGGAGAGAGAGAAAGAGACACAGAGAGATAGAGACACAGAAAGTGACACAGAGAACCAGAGAGCCAGAGAAAGAGACAGAGACAAGAGACAGACAGAGACAGAGAGAGACAGAGAGATGAGAGAATGAGAGACAGAGAGAGACAGAAACAGAGACAGAGAGACAGACAGAGAGAGACAGAGACACAGAAAGAGAGACAGAAAGAGAGAGACACAGAGAGAGAGAGAGAAAGAGACACACAGAGAGAGAGAAAGAGACACAGAGAGAGAGAGACAGAGAAAAAGACCGAGAGAGATGAGAGAGAGACACAGAGAGACAGAGACAGAAAGAGAGACAGAAAGAGACAGACAGAGAGACAGAGAGACAGAGAAAGAGACAGAGAGACAGAGAGAGAGATAGAAAGAGAGAGACAGAGAAAGAGACACAGAGAGAGAGAGACAAAGAGACTGAGAGAGAGACAGATAAGAGAGAGACACAGAGAGAGAGAGAGAGAGAGACAGAGACAGAGAGAAAGAGACAGAGAGAGACAAAGAGAGGGAGACAGAGAGATGAGAGAGACAGAGAGACAGAGACAAAAGAGAGACAGAGAGAGACAGAGAGACAGAGACAGAAAGAGAGAGAGAAAGAGAGAGGTGAGAGAGAATAGAGAGACAGAGACAGACAGACAGAGAGAGAAAGACAGAGGAAGAGACAGAGAGAGAGAAAGAGAGAAAGAGAGAAAGGGAGAGAGAGAGAAAGAGACAGAAAGGGAGACAGAGAGAGAGGGAGAGAGAGAGACAGAGAAAGAGACAGAGAAGGAGTCACAGAGACAGAGAGAGGGAGATAGAAAGAGACAGAGAAACATAGAGAGACACAGAAAGAGACAGAGAGACAGAGACAGAGAGACGAGAGAGACAGGAAAGAGACAGAGAAAGAGAGACAGAGAGAAAGAAACAGAAAGAGAGACAGAGAGGGACAGAGGGACAGAGACAGAGAGAGACAGAGAGAGACAAGACAGAGAGAGAGACAGAGAGAAACAGAGAGAGACAAAGAGAGAGACGAGACACAGAGTGAGTCAGAGAGACGAGAGAGGGACAGAGACAGAGAGAGACAGAGAGAGACAGATATAGAGAGAGACAGACAGATAGATAGAGAGATAGAGAGAGACAGAGAGACACACACACACAGAGAGAGAAAAAGAGAGTCAGACAGAGAGAGACACAGAGAGAGAAACAGAGGGACAGAGGGACAGAGACAGAGACAGACAGAAAGAGAGACAGAGACGAGAGAGAGACAGAGACAGAGAGACAGACAGAGAGAGACAAAGAGACAAGAGAAAGACAGAGAGACAGAGAGAGAGAGAGAGAGAGAGAGAGAGAGAGAGAGACGAGAGAGAGACAGAGAGAAAGAGAGAGACAGAGAGAAAGAGACAGAGAGACATGGAGAGAAGGACAGAGAGAGAGAGAGACAGAGAGAGAGGCAAGAGAGAATAGAGAGACAGAGAGAGAGACAGAGACGAGAGAGACAGAGACGAGAAAGAGAGACAGACACAGAAAGAGACAGAGAGAGAGAGACAGAAAGAGACAGAGAGAGAGAAATAGAGAGACAGAGAGAAGAGAGAGACAGAAAGAGAGACAAGAGACAGAGAGAGACGAGAGAGAGTGAGAGAAGACAGAGACAAGACAGAGAGAGACGAGAGAGACAGAGACAGAGACAGAGAGACAGAGACAGAGATACAGAGAGAGAGAGAGACAGAGACAGAGAGACGAGAGAGACAGAGATAGAGACAGAGAGATGAGAGAGAGAGACAGAGACAGAGAGAGAGAGAGAGCGCAAAAACTGGATGTTTATGTATATAGTATGATATAATACACTTTTAAATATGAGAAATCATGGTCTAAAGTATAATGTAGTATCTTGCAAACCTAATTTGCCTTCATAGAAGCATTAGTCAGCATTACTACATCTTATTTTAAATCAAGATTAATATTATTTGGAAGAAGAGAAAACTCAACATCATAGAGACAAAGCATGTTGCACCAAATACTGCTCCAAGTTACTCTGCCAAAAATCTTATCAATGCTACCCAAAATGTTTTTTTTAAGAAATAATGAAATAGACACACACTACAAGAAATTGAGAGCCAGTGTGGGGTATTGGTTAAGGCATCAGGCTAGAAACTGGGGGAATAAGGATTTTATTCCCACCTTAAGCACAAACACAGCTGGACCAGTGCCTGTCTTTCAGCCCTGAGAAGGTGGTGATGGCAAACCACTTCCAAAAAGCCTTGTCAAGAAAACTGCAGGAACCAATCTAGGCAATTGCCAGGAGTCAATAATGACACAAAGACAATAGCAATAGCACTTAGACTTATATACCACTTTACAGTGCTTTACAACCCTCTCTAAGTGGTTTACAGAGTTAGCATATTGCCCCCAACAATCTCATTTTACCGACCTCGGAAGGATGAAAGGCTGAGTTAACTTTGAGCCGGTCAGGATTGAACTCCTGGCAGTGGGCAGAGTTAGCCTGCTAATTTTGTAAGCTTGTAAGCTCTATAAGCTATTATAAGTTTAAGGACTTACAATAGTTCGCTTAGTGACCATTCAATGTTACAAGCGCACTCAAAAAAGGACTTATGACCGTTCTTCACTTACAATCATCGCAGCATCCCTGTGATCACATGATCAAAATTTAGATGCTTGGCAACTGACTCATATTTATGACAGCTGCTGTGTCCTGGGGTCACGTGATCCCCTTTGTCGACAAGCAAGGTCAATGGGGAAGCCAGAGTCACTTAACAACCAGGTCACTGATTAATAACTACAATGATTCACTTAACAACTGTGGCAAGAAAGGTCGTAAAATGAGGCAAAACTCACGTAACAAATGTTTCACTTAGCAACAGAAATTTTGGGATCAATTGTAGTCATAAGTCAAGGACTACCTACAGTATATTGCATTCTAACCATTGGCTATCACGGCTCTTTACACAATTACATACACACTGTCTCTCTCACACACAGAATCACACACACCTCACACAAAAAACCTGCAAATGCATAGCTACTTTCACCCCACAAAAACAGAACGAAGAAAAAAAGACTCCCTCACCATTCATGCTAAAAATACATCCCCCAAGAAACAATATCAAAAGGCAAACTTCCACAAACATAATCAATAGTCCTTTAAAGCTGCTGATCAGGAATGTAAAGAAATCCTCATAATATTGCTGAACCACCAGCATCTCTCAATATTAACATGGTAAGTTCCACAACATCTGGAGGGCTACTGACTTTCCACTGCTACACTATGACATGTAGGAAAGCACTGTGATGTTTTTCTTCAGCTTGCTCTAACTTCAGATGATATGCTAGCCCAGGGGTAGGCAACCTTGGCTCTTATGACTCGTGGACTTCAACTCCCAGAATTCCTGAGCCAGCATGGCTCAGCTTGGAAACCTCTCTTTCCCCTCAGCATGGCTGGCTCAGGAATTCTGGGAGCTGAAGTCCACGAGTCATAAAAGAGCCAAGGTTGCCTACCCCTGTGTTAGACAATCCATGGACAGAACTGATTATAGTTCATTAGTCTCATCCACTTTTAAGAATAGCCAGGGAGCATGATTTTAAACAAGATGACCCTCTGAATACGGATTTTCTACGTCAGACACAAAATGCATTGAAAAACATTCGCTCCTAGGATTTTCTCAGATTAAAGAGAATCCTAAAAAATAAGGTAAGAGCCTTCGGGGTAGCAATTTGATCCCTATAAACTAAGAATGAATCTCCACTAATAGTTAATGTCAGTGTTAATTATACCTTGTTGTATACAGGCCTGGGCAACAGCAAAGAGTTCAGGTGACTTTTCTTCTAGCAGCTGCTGGTGGAGATTAATACATCGTAGTGTCCACCAGGGCAATGTCTAAAAGTGAGAAAAAATATATTTCCAAACATCAGATCCACTTATTTCTATTTGGTTTTAATTCATGCACGTGGCGGTTAAACAGTGGTTAACAATAAGATCTGAAAAAAAGATCATGGCACCTGTAGTATAGATTGAATATGGGGTGGTTTTTTTTAGTATTTGCCATTTGAATTGCCCTTACCTTTTGTTTTAATTTGTATCTTTGTATTTTTACATTAACTCCCTTGAGCAATTCCTGAACAAAAAGGTGGAATATAAATCCAATCAATAAATAATGACGCACAACTCAAGGGCAGAGCATTTGCTTTTTTGTCTGAAAATGCCAAGTTTAGTCACAGCCCAGGGAGAACTCAGAAAAGCTCACAAGGGGCTCACCAGGATCTGAGAGGTGATAAAGTGAGCTGGAAAGGCAAATGGATTAACCAAATTCAAAGGACCTTCCGACATTTAAAACATTATTTGGCATTTATGTACTTGCATTAGTTTCCTATGACTGCGACAGAATGAAATATCATCTCAAAGAAGCGTATCCTGAAAAACATAGGTATTCCCTCACTCTTTAATGGTTCCTCATCTGGAAAGAAGAACAATTATTCAATCTTGTTTTTCTTTACCTGAATAGCTTCTAGCTTATTTCTGGAATTCACAAGGATGACTCTAGCCAGCATCAACAAGATAGGGTGGGTAGTCAAGCTGTATATTGATTCACCATCTAGAACCAGCATCCCTAAGATAGAAGTTGACAAGGCACTGGTCTGGAAACAGTAAAAAAAAAGAAAGAAAGTCATATTAGGCAGCTTCACATTATTTTAGAAGACACGCCATACTTTAGTGGCTGTGGGTACGGGTAGCCTTCAACTTAGGATGGCAATTGAAACTGAAATTATAGTTGTAAGTCATGGTATCACACAACCAGATCTGATTTTTTTTTACATTTTTTGTAGCTGGTGTTAATTTTTCCCAATGGGCCTTGTTTGCCAGAAATCAGAAGTAAGCACTGGAAATCAGCAAAACAGAATGCAAATCGCAGTCGCATGACCACAAGACACTGCAAACATCCATAAAGGGGATCCAGTTGTCAAGCACCCAAAATGCAATCATGCTACTGTGGTGGGGGGAGATATGTGCGGCTGTCGTAACTTCAAAAATGGGTTGTAAGTCGCTTTTGGGGGTGACTATCATAACTTTGAACAGTTGTTAAGTGACCCAGCATGTTGAGGACTCCATGTACTGCACTGAATTCAGTTTCAAAGAGATCCTTTGGAACAGGTGGGAGCACAGATGCAGCATTTGTCTGCAACTCACCAGTGATATGTGAGTGCTTCATATTAGTACATTATTATGATGATTACTATTACTATGATAATTACTATATTCTATATTACTATTCAATTACTATTATTGTATTACAATGGCCTATATACTGTGCTCCATACTATTACTAGTATGCACCAATGTTTCTTTCTTGACTTTGTTCTGTCTTAAGTCCCCTCTGAGATTTCTTCTTTTTCTGTTAATGGCCAGCATATAGACCTCTTGCCCCCTTTTTTTATGTTGTGCTTTTGTCTTACTGGGCCTCTGCACTTCTTTTCCTGCCTGGCAACTCTACAACGAACCTGGCTGAAGCCATCTTGCTCATTCTAGGCTGCCACAAGAACGGGAGGGGGAAGTGTAGTTTTTCTGCTGGTCTAAACAATTCTCTGTCCTGTGGGAGCCAAGGTCATTTCTACCGGTCGAATTGGGGGGGTTGAGCATTCTGTCAGAAAGCCAGCCTCGGAGTTCTGATTTGTTTGGTCTCATCTATTGGAACCATGACACTGTCTTTTGGACCAACCACTCCTTCTGAAGGAAAAACATCTTTATTTGTTTTGCTGCTGTATTCAGTTGGCTAGTGGCTGTAGGGGTGCAAAGGATGTGTCTCCTCCCACACCTGTCCCAAGGTTGCAGTTTTATTGCCATCTCTGCCATTCTGGCACTGGGGGAAAGGCTCAAATAGGAGGGGAAGCCACATTCTCTGAAAGGCTCAGCACGGCTGCTTCACAGTCTTTATTAGAGTCTGCACATCTACATACATGATAAATAATAATACTTTCACCAAAATAGTCTATGTTTGAACAGGATTAAAGAAACAACTTGGGAGAGACCTCAAAACAGCTGGGCCACACTTTCCAGAGAGGATTGTTAAAATGCATTGAAAATGCGCACTTTGTAAAGCATCCCTGCAAATGCTTTGCATAGCCTACTCTGAGTAACCTAACTCTGGCTATATCCAAAGTCACTTAACTTCCCCTTGCACAACAACAATCTCCTCTGCTCCTCCTAGGACAGATTTCACAGAGAAGGAGAATCCAATTCACCAGCAATGACTGTTCACCTAATTTAAATTTTGGGCGGTGGGGTGACGTACAGGCATAGCTTTAATTAAGAGCAAGAAACAATGTCAAATAATAACAATGAAGGATTGTTCAGCTAAAAAGACTAAACCTTCGACTGCATATTCTGAAACAATTCAAAGCTAAGTACTGGTAGAACCAGAGAATTCACCCAGAAGAAGCCCCTGTCCCACCAGCAGAACATCAATAGATCCAATCCAAATTATCTGGTCAACTAATACAAACGAGAAGACTGTCCTACATTCCACTAACAATTAATAGTGCACATAGGAATTATAATAAATGAATTGTGATGTTGTTTAACAAAGTAAACCTTCAAATACAACCATAGGACAATGTACTGTAAAGACCAAAGATCAATCTATACAGTGTACAATTATAATTTATGTTTATGATTTTTTTCTTTTTTAGCAACATATATATATTTGTTTAAAATCTGAAATGAGAAAGGTATATAAAACATTAGCTGTAGAATACCTACTATACTATACTATACTATACTATACTATACTATACTATACTATACTATACTATACTATACTATACTATACTATACTATACTATACTATACTATACTATACTAATGGCAAAGTCTTTCAGAATAACAGAAAGGGTTCACAAGTTTCATACTGTGACAAATCCAGCTGATTTCAGATTTGCCATTTCTCTAGTACTAAAAGGAATATTTTTCAGTCGCCCAACTATTGAAGGTGGAGAAAAGTACCTCATTATACTGTTGCAATATTTCAGGTGGAAGAAAATCCTGAGGCTCTAAGTCAGTAGGAGGTCCAGTCCAGTTGCTCTGTGCAAACAGCTGTAAGCTCCCTACACCAAGGAGGAACACCACACTTTGTCTGCAATACACATAAAAATGTTGTGTTTATATATAAATGAATACAGAACAGGAATCTATCATTCTTTAATAATCAACCTCTAGCTTACATAGAACATTTTAAATGTTGACAAAATAAAAAAATTGGTGAATGACTAAGAGCAGAAAGTCTGTCTGAGTCCTCAATTTAAACCATTCATTTAGTGACCATTTGAAGTTACAATGGCACTGGAAAAGTGACTTACGACTGGTACTTGCATTTATAGCTGTTACAACATCCTATAACAGTGGTGGCGAACCTATGCCCTCAGAGCCTTCTCTGTGGGCACACGCGCCATCGCCCCAGTCCTAGGCCTTCAGCTGGGTTTTATAAAACCTTTTCACTTTAGGCCTACACCACCATATGCAAAAAAAAAAAAAAGGTTCAATCAGTCAATTTCAACTTCTTGCGGGGAAAAAAAAAGATCTTGAAAAGTTGAAATTGATTGATTGAACTTTTTAGTCCCACCCAGTCTGCCGTTACCACCGCAGCCACGCCTACTCAATGGGCCACACCCACCCGGCACTCGACAATGCATAAGTTGGTTTTGGGTTGCAGTTTGGGCACTCAGTCTCTAAAAGGTTCGCCATCACTGTCCTATAATCACATGATCAATATTTGGGTGCTTAGCAACTGGCATGTATTTGTTAAGGTTGCAGTGTCCATGGGTCATGTGATCTTCATTTGTGTCTTTCCCAGCCAGCTTACCACAAGCAACGTCAATGTTCCTCTTTAACATGGTTTCATTTTAAGTCTCCTGATTGCTGAGAATGGCTTCAGGGGACATCTTTTCTAGCCTCCATTCAGGTCTCCATGGATACAGTTGATTAATTACAAAGAATACAATTTCCTAAAATTTCAGAAGTACTAGAAAAGCCAACAATTATTTTGGCTATATCAAGGAAATGGAAGTCTGTCTTTCACTAATTAATGTAGAAGAGGAGGAGGTTAAGCTGGAAGGTGGGATTAGATGTGTCAATAAGTTTGGAATCATTGCACTGCCATAATATTTATTACACTGGGAATTTTAGAGGAATCCTAACTCTGTGCATGTATCCCATTAGACTACAATCTATTATGAAATGAAAGATGATAAATTAAATTTAGGATTTCAGAATTGGCAATATTTTCATATGCCTTTCTTTGTGGTAATCCACCAAGAACTACTAAATCAGAATGGTGAATTAAATTAAAATATTATGCAACTAGGTAAGGCATAAGAGGAATCCTTAAAAATGTGTGAAGACAACACACCTCATATCTAAGTCTCCCTTAAGAGTCCTTTCAGACATAAGATTAATATCTCAAGTTACTATAATTACTACAATTCATTCAAATCATTAAACCACCAAATACTAATTTGACAAGCTAAATTCATATCACATTTAGTTTTGAGTTACTGTGAAACATATTATGAGACATTTAATAAACCATGATTGAACAAATTATGTCTTGATGTCATGTATGAACCCAGGCAAAACATCTATCTTTGAAGTGAATTTTTTATTTTTGTGAGAACAGAGGCTTGAATGTACAAGAATGGCCAACTGAAAAACAGCAGAATGAAGCTAAAGGGAAATGCATCTTCATTTTTTCAGTAATGTTATAGGTGAAATATCAAGCCCAAACCATAAATTGAACATACAATATTAAGAAGTATAAACAAGGAATGTTTGTTTATTCAATGGTATTTTAATTACATATACTACAGTCTGGGCAAATACCAAGAAATGGATATAGTAACTGAAAAGGCACAAAACTCAGAAACCCCACATTACTAAAGTTTGCAAGTATAGTTTCCAGTCAAATGTGAAGATATGAACATGGAGTAGTATATCTCTTTTCAAAATTTCTCCTGAAACTCGGGGTACTAAATGGAAAAACAAAGGAAAAAGCAAGATAGGAAGCCTACTTTGAGCAGATAAAGCAAACACAACTTTCTGTTATGGCAAATCTTAAAAGTGCATGTCCTAATTCATCCCATGAAGCTAACTCCTTGGCATATTATATTTTTCATCACGATAGTAACAACAGGGATGGAATAAGCTATTCCCACATTATAGCTGAAACCAATAAAAAAAACAACATTGAACACCACAATACTTACAATACACATTCTGAATGTGCCACAGGTGCTTTTCCAAAAGGAAACTGGACTTTGTTTTTTTCCTTGAAAATGTTTCACTTCTCATCCAAGAAACTTCTTCAGTTCTGAAGAAGGAAAAAAACCAAGACAGTCCAGTTGCTTTTTGGAAAAGCACTTTTGGGACAACCACGATTGGATGATTGAGAACCTCGATAGACACACACTGAATAGTTTGTGAGATCATTTGAAATTGGGCTTTGGGGGGATGTGTTGTGGTTCAGATGCAAGCAAAGTATTATTCTCTTTCCAAAACAATTTACCTTTCAATAGAATCAATGTCTGCTGAAGAACAATCCAGGTAAGCTTGTATTTGCTTTTCCAAGTAGCTTTCAATGGTGTTCTCTTTTCCTGAAGATACGGTGAAAACATTCTGGATTGCTTTACTTAGAAAGATGGACTCATAGTTCCCTTCCAACAACAACTGCAATAATGATCCACTTTCTAAAAATTAAAGTAATTAGTGTGAGTGACTTATATTTGTACTGTATTTTACGTGGTTATCTGAGATTTGGACAGGAAAAAGAATTGTATTCTCAAAAATGTCCATTCCTATCAACTGTATTATAAAACTAGTCATATTTAAATTTTATCCCATATTTACTGAATAAGTACTAAACCAAAAAGAAAGTAGTGGAAAACCAAGAGCATCCATAAATATCAAGGAGTCTAATGAATCTTACATCGTCTCATTTGTTCTTAAATATTTTTGCAATTAATTTAATGTTTTTTTTCAAGTTGCATTATTTCAGCCCCCCCTCCCCATAAAGTAGAAAAGGAGGAAAATCTTCAATATAACTAATAATCATATAATCAAACACAATAATCATATAGATCTGCCAATACTAGAGCTCTGGAAAAAGTATAGATGAGAAAGTGTACACCATGGAAGCAAAAATACATTAGAAATGCACCCTGAGATCCAATTATTGTCTTCAGAGTTAGTACAGAAGTAAAGGGTACTGTAAATTGGCCACCCTAAATATGACAACTCCAATCCCATCCGTACATGGTGTCCAACCAAAGAGAGTTTATGATCTATTAGAACTGAAATGAATACACTTGTCTCACTCAAGAAGAATCAAGAAAGTTTGGATTGATATCACAGAATCAGTAAGAGGAAGAGAAATGTTAAATGCAAAGTCAAAAGGCATTATTATGTACTTAATAAGTGCAGCAAAAAAAGGAGGGTGTTATCTGGGTTTAGAAACCTCAACATGACAATTATATTAGTCACTGAAGCTTTGGCACATGAATTGTCTGTCTTCTTTATGGGAGGAGGAAGGGAAAAGAGAAAGTGGTACCCATCCTGATAGGCTTGGCCTTGGATGGAACAGCCTCCAGTATATACTGGAATAGAATATATTTCTATTTTTCTTTATATATATATCTTTCCAATATATATGGAACGGAATAGCCTCCAGTATATACTGGAATAGAATATAAGTATTTTTCTTTATATATATATATATCTTTCCAACATATACTGGAATGGAATAGCCTCCAGTATGTACTGGAATAGTATACATGTCTATTTTTCTTTATATATATATCTTTCCAATATATACTGGAATGGAATAGCCTCCAGTATATACTGGAATAGAATATATGTCTATTTTTCTTTATATGTATCTTTCCAACATATACTGGAATGGAATGGCCTCTAGTATATACTGCAAAGAAAACATCAGTCTGTGAAATAAGCAGAGGGTCTGTCTACCGTAGCTAGAGTCGCAAAATCAGACCCTTACCTGTCCGGCACCTATCCCCATCCCCGCTCTACCTCAGTAAACCTTCCCAACTTTCAGGGGGATTAGTTTTCCCGAGGGATTAGCTGACTTCTAAGAAACCACAGAAGCATCTTTCCTCGGCAGGCGCGTTTTCTCTGCATCGCTGCATCGAAACCCAAAGAGGTATTAGGGAAAGAGGGAAAGGGGGGCGAGGAGGAATGGGAAGAAGAAAGGCCCGCCCTCCCTTCTGCCCTTCTGCCCAAATCCAGGGAAGCTGCTGAGAGCCACCGCGGCAAGCAAGCAGGCAGCGCGAGCAGCAAGGAAGGCGCCCGACCTGGCTTACCTGCCGCCGAAGCCGCCTCGCTCTGTTTCCACCGCGGGGATTCCGCCGCGCTGGGGAAGCCCCTCAGTAACACCCGCTCCAAAGCCCGCATGTTCCCGTATTCGATGCCTGGGAAGGGAAAGGGGGCGGCTGGGGAAGGGAGGAGGAGAGAAAGCGCCTGCTTTTCCCTACGCGAAGCAAAAACCCATGTGCGGATAGCGGCTGCTGGGAGCCGCCATTCCAAGCCGCGCTAAGCTCCCTGGGAGAAGGAGGCACCTGCGTAGCAACCCCGAGCGGACACACAGTCCTGGCGGAAGAGCTTTCGGGGCCGGCTTGCGGGCTCGGCACCACTTTTGGCGGACTGGCTCGGGCGTGTTTCCTCCGAAAGAAAGGCGCGCCTGACCTCCCGGAGACCACGGACTCCCAGGAAGCGGGGCGCCCTGCTCTGGAGCAGCGTTGTCTCTTTTAAGACCGGCGATTCGTGCCCTCGTTTAGACAGCCCTGCGGTGCTATTTCTCTTTCAGATCGCGCTTGACACGTCCTTTGCTTCCCGCCCCCACCCAATTCATGCTTTATATCTGCTTCTGCCTTCTTGATATATTAGTGCAATTGAGATATATATATATATATATATATATATAGATATATAGATAGATAGATAGATAGATAGATAGATAGATAGATAGATAGATAGATAGATAGATAGATAGATAGATAGATAGATAGATAGATAGATAGATAGATGTTGAGGGCTGGGGAGCTGCCTATATATATACACATTGTACACATTCAGACATACTACTGAGTTATCAGTAGCTGCTACTTTTGGGTATCACATATTTCTGTTAGAAAAGCAATACAGCAGAGCACTTGGGATAGATATTATACAGTATTACGTTACTGCCCTCAACAACTTTTCAGGGTATTCTGCTTGGGGTATTTGCGTCCCCCTAAAAGGAATACATTGGAGCTTGTTTCCGCTGCATTGAGGGCCAGCCTCTCTTGTTTGTTGAGAAACGGTTGTCGTTCTAAAAATATAACTAAAATCAGCAGCAGTAACGTAATACTGTATAATATCTATCCCAAGTGCTCTGCTGTATTGTTTTTCTAACAGAAATATGTGATACCCAAAAGTAGCAGCTACTGATAACTCAGTAGTATGTCTGAATGTGTACAATTACGGGAACTGTCTTCAGTTCAAGAGAAGGGCTCCAGTGGGTTTATTTAATAAATGTATATATATGCCACCCGTCATACTGTCCAGTGACTCTTGCTAATATCAGTGGGAAAGTCCTCCCATACACACAAAATCTGAAGCAATTGAGTTATAATTATGCTTAAGGGAATGAAATGTGTTCACCTATTCTGGATTATTTTTCTCAAGCCTCTCAATGAGACCCAGTTTGGTCCAGTGATTAACGTATCGAGACTAGGAAACAGGAGACGGTGAGTTCCCCTTTACCTATGAAAGCGACCTGGGTGACCTTGGGCCAGTTACTCTCTCTCAGCCCAACCCACCTCACAGGGCTGTTGTGAGGTAAATGGGAGGAGAAAGGAGTATAGTATTTATAAAAATAATAAAGGTAGGATAAAAATAAATAATGGAATTATAACATGTAAGATTTGGAAGGGATCATGGAGATCATTTGTTCCAATTACTGCCCAGTGAGAAATTATTGCTACACTATCCTCTTACAGCTGAGTATCCAACCTCTGTTTAAGCACCAAAATAAAAATAAAAATCGATATCTTCCCTTCTCTTTCATTGTTGAACAGCTCTTACCATTAACTTTTTTTCTGAGGTCCAGCCAAAACCTACCTTCTTGTTCTTTAAGCTCATTTTTTCTTATCTTCTGGAACAACTCTGAACAATTCTGCCCCATCCTCTATATGTTAGCCTTTTAGATTCTTCAGAAGTGATCATGTCTCCCCATAGTCTCCTCCTTTTCAGACTAAACATACCCTATATACCTTCAACTATTCCTCAATTTTTGTTTGTTTGTTTCAGGACCCTTATCACATTGACTGCTAGATATATTGTCATTTGTCAATGTCCTTCCTAAA